ACTGAGGGCTATAAATAAATCGCAGATCTTTCAGCAGCCAATGCACATCCTCAGGCAAATCACTTTTCTCAGCTGTTGTATCCACCAAGACAGGTGGGGTAACTATTGTCATAATATGGTTATAGAATCTCTTCCCCTGAAAAGGTGTTGTTTTAGGCACTCTCCAAATGCTGATTTTAGGCAAAGTAAATAATGACTAGGCTTAGATTCATGTGACTGCTCTGGGCAGCATACTGGCAAGAGGATCTGTGGGCTGCCTTTCCTTATTCCTTTAAAAAAAAGCAATCAATACTCATCATCAAGATTCTGCAGCCACAAGCCCATGGCCTTGTGGAGTGTATTAGGAAACAGATATTTAGACCGAGCCCAGTAGAATGGTATGTTTACATCAGTATTAAAGCATTGAGTCAAGTAAACACTGTGGGTTCATAGTAATGCTCGCTAATCCTTGGTACTTAAAATGCCTGTTAATTTTTATAAAACCTAATTATTATTTCACCAGCTCCCTCATGGGCTTGTTGTGAAGGGACAGAAAATCTGTAAAGCTGTACATAAATGTGAAGTGCTGTTAATATTATTCAATCAGGAGAACCAATGCACAGAGGACAAATAGAAGTCATCTACTGCCACACCAACAGGAACCTGTCTGTGGTCACTAATGGCAGTTGTAGCTGGCCAATCAGATGTTCCCTTTACTTGACAGTCCATCTTCTGCCTCTGTGCCTTTGGGGACATAAGTGTCCCCACCCCCACCCCATGTCCAGAATATACTCCTTCCTCGTTTCCACCCTTCTTATTAGAAAGCATAGCTCAGGTGCCTCTTCCTATGTGAGGCCCTTCCTGCCTTCTCCATAGACATACACTGAAGTTGCTAGCATGGTCTACATCTTGTAATTGCACCCTATTACTTTCTAAATACCTTGTGTCTACTTAGCTTTATTGTATCTCCACCCTAATCCCTATGAACATTAGTTCCTTGAGGGCAGGGAATATGTTTTTTTGTTTTTTCTTTGTACCTTTGCTACTATGAACATAGCAGGTAATTGATAAATGTTTGTTGAATTTAATTAAATGATCTCATTTCCAATCCTACCTATATGTAACTATATACATATATAACATAAAAAATAACATACAATATATGAGTTTAACTATATATGAATGTATGTCATTTAGTTGCATATAATTTAATTATAATTATATATTATTTATATCACTTAATTAAATTATTTATTATTCTATTATATAATGATATACACATAATTCTATAATATATAATATGTCTAATACGATGTGCATAATTATGTGTACATTAATTTATACAATCATATATAATTTAATTATATGTAGGGGTATGTGTGTGTGTGTGTATATATATATATACACATATATATATATACACACACACACACATATCTCAGGATCATCTGGCAAGTTCATAAGAAATCATTGAGACTTGGGTTTAAGAGCATGATAAATGCTTCCTTTTCCCCAAGATTCACTGTCCTCACCATAAGATCCAGGCATGAGCTACTCACCTTTCCCCTCTAGATCTGAGAGAAAAGAAGAAAATGAGGACGAGATCAGGATGCTCTCCTCTCCAATGCACTTTGGGGAGAAGAGAGCCATTAATCTCTCTCAGTATCTGTACTTCAGCATCCTCCTCAACCTCATGACATTTGCAGGCAGCCTTGTTTAACAATACTCAAGAACCTAGATTCCATCCATTAACCCAAGTGACCATTCTAAACAATAAGAGTCCAAGATAGCTACTTTGCTGCTAACTGCAGTAGAATGCCATTGATGTGGCACCATTGAGGATAGGTCAGTTCACATAGAGAAGTTTTCCAGATAGCTAGAGCTTATCCTTTTAAATACTACTTTTTAAATTGAGCCATTTTTGATAAAAATCTTTCTAAAAATGTAGCTCATACTTCCTTGACTTGTTAAACAGGATTCTGAACAAAATCTAATGTGATGACTCTATATCATTATTATGAACATCAGTTCATGATAATTGTTGGGAATGCCAACAAATGTACAGAGGTATTAGTCCTAAACAAAAATAACCCTGGATGACTGCTTTTTTTTGTTGTTTCTATTTTCCTGGAGTCTTGTTCCCTGCTGGCTTATCAACTTTCACTTCTTGCAGTCAGTGACTCTGCCTAATGTGATTCCTTCACTTCCTAATTTCTAACTTAGTGCTTTGTGTAAGCTATGGGCAGGGAAAACAGATAAGCCATCCTATTAGAATTGTTGATAAACTAAGGGGCAATTGGCTTTAAGTGAGACCTAAAGGACTCTCCTATGAGTTAAAGTGTGTGAGTTTTATTATATAGATTTTAAGATATCTACTTTAACTGCTCAGAGATTTTTCTTTCCTTCCTTTGTGGTTTTATATAATATTCTGAGGAGCTGAGATTGATGGGTAAGGAAACTCTCAGTGAATGCGGTGTTGTTATCTATTAAGTCAGAGGCACACACACACACACATACATACACACACACACACACACACACACACACACACACCATAATTAAGGAGATAAGTAAAAAATAACAAGAGAAAAAGGAGAGAAGTACCTTCCCAGTTTGGTTGGACATAACTTCTCTACTCAGTTCTTAGTCTAAACTTCAGAGAAAGTTAATTAAGAAATATGCCATGAGAACCCTCTAGCTTCGTTGGGTGATCAGAGAGTAGAATTGACACTTTTGAACAGAAGGACCAGGGCCTCCAATTCAGAGTCCTCTTGGTGTAATTCACAAAGGGCTGGTAGCAACCCCCTATGCTTTGTGCTTCTGTAGAAAAGACAAAAGCCTGAGTCAAAGAAGGACCTGACTAAATGCTGAGCCACCTAAGCTGTGAATCCAAAGTCCCTGAGGTTTCTGTATTCATCCCAGAGCCCATGATGAACTGAACCTTCAGGCCCCAGCTGGTTGCAGGCAAAGGGGGAGGCCTGTCATTCTGAATCCTATTCATGTGGCTTCCCAGGCATAGAATCTTGCTCCTTCCTCCCCCTGCCTGCCTCTCTCTCTCTCTCTCTTTCTCTCTCTCTCTTTCTCTCTCTCTGTCTCTCTCTGTCTCTCTCAGTCTCTTTCTCTCTCTGTCTCTCTCTCTCTCTCTGTTCCATATGCCAACGTCAAGTTGGAGGGTATAAAGAAAGATTTTTCTCAGCTGGGTGACCAGCAGTGATGATTCTGAAAGGTCCTTTGAAGAGGGGAAGTGAGTGAGGAGAACAGCATCTCTCTAGATTCTTCAAGACATTTGGAGAGGATGATGGGAATCTACCTGAAAAGAAAGGAGCTATACTGAGGAAGCTGTAGGAGAGAATAGCTGGTAATGAAGAAATGAGGAATCAAAAACATAAGCTTACTACTGGTAAGTCCTGGATATAAGAAGAGGCTTAAAGAAATGAGGCTAGACAAACAAAGCAAAGCAGAGCTAGAGTGAGACAAGTGTAGTCCTGAGATCACAGATTTAGAACTGAAAGGGACCCCAAAGTAACCTCATCCAACCACTGCATTTTACCAAATGAAGCCCAGAGCAGTTAAACCACTTAGCTAAGATCACACAGCTAGTAAAGGATAAAGCTAGTCTTAAAACTCAGGTCATCAGGTCTCAGATTCAGTGTACATTCTACCAGCTCATGTGTCCAGTAGGCGCATTGCCAACAAATTACATACAAAAGTCCCCTTTATCAGCCAGCTCTGTTCTCAGAATGCCATAGAAACAGGGTTTGGAAAGGACTTGAAATTACACAGCCAAACTGATTAGAACACTTAAGAAATAAACCACACATGTAAGCTGGATTTCACAAGGGTTTTAGCCAGAGATCTAAAGCGAGATCCCTTTTATGGGGTCAGGGTAACTGGAAGAGAAAAAAGTAAGAGAAAAGAGAATAAGTGTGCTCCCTACGGTAGGTGAAGGGAAGGGAACTGGGAGTACCTTCTAATGCAGGTCTGCATCCCAAACCAGCATACCGCTTCTTCAGCCTACGCAGGCCTGCTGTAGACACTGGTGACTTAACCACTGTGGTCTCATTCAAGCCACAGACAGCTCTAGAGATTTGAACTTAATTTCTCCACTCTTTTAAGCAGAGGAAAAGCGAGGAAATTACCCCAGTCTCTGTTGGCTTTTTCCATAATTCCTCACTAAGCATAGCTTCTGTATCAGTGTCACAGGCCAGCAGGGTGACAAAACTGTTGGACAAGTTGACTTCTTCAGTGGGCTCAATTCATCTTCTCATCTCAGAGCAGTGGGGAGAGAAATGTTAGCTTCTGAGTTAAATGAATTCAGAAAACCTGCCCACCTTCCCTAATACTACAGACCAGCACTTCCCCACATGCCTCCCATGAGCCTTTACTCTATTGGGCAAAGGGCTTCATCACTGCCTATAATGAAGGAAACAGAGGGGAAATTGGCTAGGCCTCCAGATCCAGCACAGCTGAAGAAAGAAAGGGACCCAAATCTTATTATAGATATGTCTCCTTCAATGTGGGTCCAGATACTCATGTGTTTTCCCATCTTCCAGAAATGAATGAAATTGAAAATGAGGCTTATTAACCTTGTAGTTGGGTAACACATACCCAGCTGGGTTCCCTGATTCTTCTGCTGAGGGTCTGTTGGGAACAGTACCTATTAAATCTTCACCAATAGCTCCTTTTGAGTACTTTCTACAGAATAGAACTCTAGTCAATTGCCACTTCCTAAAAAAGGCCCCCAGTTGCTAGTCTCCATCCCACCCCACCCCACCAGGAAATTACTCGTATTTTCTTTATATATATTTTGTTTACTTGTATAGGTATATTTCATTTCTCCCAAAAGAATGTGAGCTCCTCGAGGGCAGGGCTTGTTTTATTGTTGTTGTTTTTATCTCTGCCCCCACAGACTAGCAGAGAGCCTGGCATATAGTCGGTGCATAGTAAATACTTGTTGAAACAATGGATGAATGAAGTAGATATTCCATTAATGCTGGTCTTGCGGTTTTCCTCCCTTTTAGACATCTCAGTGAGTTTGCTGTCTCTAGTTGTCACAGCCTGTGGGCTGGCCCTCTTCAGTGTATCTCTATTTGTGTCCTGGAAGCTCTGCTGGATCCCCTGGAGAGAACGAGGCCTGTTCTCGGGAAGCAAAGACAACCAGGAGCCCCTGAATTACATGGAAACCGAGACCAATGACCCAGAGTACAGTGAGGACTACCAGGAACAGCCCTCGCCATATCCCGATGCCGCCATGAAGATCAGCCACACGTCTCCTGACATCCCCTTAGCTTCTCAAGCAGAGAACAAGGAGAATTGTGTCCATGGGGCCCGCATGCAACGACAAGTGACAGAACCCACCCCATCTGCCCGGTCAGTAGTACTGTCTGTCTGTCTGTCTGTCTGTGTGTCTACCTGAGGGGGCCACAGGGATCCTCTGGTGGGATGATTGTGGGATTTGAGAAAGAGTGATCCACAGGAATGGGAGAGGCAGTGATCCAGTGGAAAGAGCATTCAGTCTATAGTCAGAGGGGCTGTTTATCCTGAGAAATGTTTACCTTAGAAATAATAATATTCAGAATCAAAATCTTCACTTTTGTCCATTTCTTTTTTTTTCAGTCAACACTTCCTTTAAATAGATTTCCCTAGAGCTGCTGAAATCATGTGTAGTGTCTTCTTATCTTTATCTTTTCTTCTAATTGGATATTCATAGTTGACCTTTGTTTTCTCTGCTTGGTGTGATGATTGCACACAGGCAGCTAATTCTGAAAGGACCTTATAGCTGTGACTAGTCATTCCTTGTCTCAAGATACAGCAAACTCATTTCAATGGTGTTCTATGCCCTCTACATCGAGTCTTCTGACTTTTCTCAAAGAACATGTTTGTGATGTCCAAGTGTGAGACATCTTGAGCTTTTGATTTCTTTCATTCTTTGATCCCACACCTTATTTCCCAATGTTATTTTCACTATATTCCCCTGTGTCCCAGTTTGTAGTGAACTAATTAAATAAAAAAGCACATGTTGACTTTGGTCAAGACTTGTCAAGGTCTTAGAATCTTTCTTCATCTTCAACAATATACTGTTGGTATATAAGATGTGATTATTATCATGGATATCCATATTACATTGCAAGGATGCTTAATCAAGGGGGTTTTGAAGAACTGTGTCTGTATTTGGGTCATGAGGACTACCACTGTGCTAACAGACATACACATACCTATTACTGGAGTGCTCCACAAGGTCAGGGCCATTTCTGAATACATCCTGATGAGAGAGAGAGAGCAGGAAAAGAATAAAATTATTCCAGCTGTCTAGAACTCAAAACATGGCATGGGGAATATTTATTTTTTCTGAGGCTAGTCTTTCTTTGTTCAGAAAGGGAGATTTTGGTTAAGATTCTGCTATATCATTACAAGGTGTCAGCTCCAGGTAATATAATGGTGATGGCATGTTTTATTGACCTTGACTATTGAAAGAAGTCAGCTCTAGGCCCAGAAATGCTACATTTCTTACCTGTGATTCACATGTTACCCAGAAGCCTTTGGCTCCCAAGAACTTTCAACAAAGATTTCAAAGATTCTCTAAGCAGTAACTTTCTAATATGACCATTTTCACTAAAACTTTGGCATCTTAGCAATGAGAGAACATATGAATGGAATGCGGTCTGCCTGTTATGTCGAATGTCTAGAAGAGGTGTGACAAGCATAAGTTAACACCTACATAATTATGCCTTTGTTGTTCAGCTGAGAGAAACTGTTAGTGATCAGCAGAAAGAATGGTTTGAAAAAAAAAACAAAGTCAACATTTTATTATTTTAAAAATATATAATTAAAAGTCTCAGAAATGGATCAAACATTTTCCCTGCTTTATAAATACAGGCCATTTCTCCTTACTGTCTTTAGATTTTTTTAAAAAAAAAAGTGATTTAAGAATAGAGAAAATCTTATCCTATTTGGAAGGTGCCACAAATTACTCCTATAACTGTGGGTAGGTTATAGTCTCAGAAGGCAGCATCCCCAGCTCCTCCTTGCAGACCAGATGTGTCAATCTTGGCAACAAAAGGACATAATTCAACAAATCTAGGCCTCCACAAGCCTGACCTTTTACACCCTGGGCCTCACCTCACAACAAACCTTTCCAAATGCATCGTGTTCTAGCCAAATTGAATACTTTGGTGTTTTTCATGCATACGTTGCATTTTCTCATTTCAGTGACATGTTTTATGCCTTTACCTATACATGAAAAGCCTTGACCTCCACCCCAATCTTATTCTTCACCATTTAAAATTCTATTCATCTTTCAAAACCCAAATTAAGTGCTGACTCTTCCAGAAAGGCTTCCCTCATTCCTTCAACTTAGAAATGCTCTTTTCTTTCTCAGACAGACATCACATAGTACCTGTTACCTCTCATATAGTCTTGTATTGTCTTCAATACAATAGCTGCTGTAGCACTATTGCATATGTATTAGAGATTAGCTTTTATTGCTGTATATATTGCATTTCCTCCACTAAGTTATAAGGTAAAAATAATAATAGCTAGAATTTATATGGTGCTTTAAGTTTTACAAAACACTTTACAAACAATACCTCATTTTATCCTAATGAAAACCCTAAGAGTCAGGTGCTATAATTAGCCTCCCTCGACAGATGAGGGAATTGAGGCAGAGAGTACTTAAGTGACTTTCCCAGAGTCACACAGCTAGGCGGGGTCTGAGAATGAATTTGAACCTAGGTCTTTCTGACTGGGTTAGAAAGTTCCCTATTGTCTATGAGGTCATGGGCTATGTTTGAATTATCTTTGCATTTTCCTCTACTGAAGTATTTTACATCAAGTAGATATTTAATATATGGCCGTTCATTGAACATTTTAAAATTTTTCATAGCTCCAACCTCAACATTTAAATGCTTCTCTAATCTCATCAATGTGGGTGGTCCTTCCACTGGTACACATTGCAATGCCTTCATGCCTTCTCATCCTGCATGATCCTTATCCAAGACTATGAATAAATTCTCCAAAGAGGATTCACCCACCATATTGGAAGACTTCTCCTGGTTCTTCTATTTTTGAAAACAGTTTTATTGATACGTTTTATTTTTCCATTGCACAGACTTATTGATTGCCCCTACTTCATGAGATGTCTCTTGTAACAAAGTAAAACAGTTAAGTAAAGTTAATCAGACAACGATTTCATCTGCAAGTGCATAAAACATTTCACATCTCTTACCCTACCACCACCAACTCACTGTTTTTAAAAGTTAACAGAAATCTATTTTCTCTTCCTTTCACTCCCACTCCATGGGGGAAAAAAAAGAAAGAAAAATAAATTTCTTGTAACAAATATACATAGTCAGGCAAAACAAATTACCTCAATGGCTGTATACAAACTATATAGAGTGGGTATTTATATTTATGTGATATGGGTGTGTATGCATGGGTACACATACACACACACACACATGTACACGCGATGGGCCATCTATCCAAATGCATATGGTAATATTAGCATTATTCTCTTGACATTCATTTGCCCCAATCATCCCCCACCCCATGCCTGTGAATTTCTAGGTCAGTTTCTTTGGAATAGTAGTAGATTCATTGAGGAAGCCCAATGGTGATCTGAAGTTTGATGGAATCAACCTATTATCATCCATAGGACCATAGATATTGATCTATGTGTTTATGTATCTATCTGTGCATGAACAGGAATATTTATGAAACCTATCAATAGCTAGAGGATCCATTTTCCTTTGGGGCTTTACGTAAAACATTTTCTATGACCCTGGCAGACATCTTTTTTATTTTTTTAACACATCTTTCTGTTTAATACTGCCCTTCATATTCAGTGGATAGTTGATCAAAGTTATTTCATAGGATCATAGAATTAAAGCTGGAAAAGTCTTATAGGCCATTTAACTTAGTCCAGACTCCTCATTTTACAGATGATGAAACTGAGGCCCAGAGAAGTTAAGTAATTTACTCAAGGGAGCAGGTGACAGAGCCAGGATTCAAACTCAGGTTCTTGTAACTCCAAGTTCAGTGTTCTTTCCACTGTGCCACATTTCCTTCCATGATCCTACCTGTCACAGAATAGTCTATACTCTTAAACAGATCCGTGAAAGATACCTTGTTTGAGGAAATGTCCTCCTAAGGCTACATTTTGTTCTACTGGTTCAAATATATTTGTATATATTTGTATAATTAATACACAATTTTGTTTAATAAAAATTATATAATTAATAATTTTATTTAATAAACATTTTATTCTGCTGGTTCAAATATATTTTGCATAATTAACAAACAATAAACACAGCAGGATCTTATTACACTCATTACTCCTCTCAATTAATTGCATGACCCAAAAATGTAATATTCTGTACCAAATTATGTGGGAAAACCCACATGTCCCTTACTCATATTGTCATTTTGGATACTCTTAATCATAGATCATTCTTAATAATGATTTTATGGAGAAGAAAATGTAGGCATACAGGTCAGGGGCTGTTGATATTTTTAAATGTCTTTTTGTTGTTGTTATTATTGTTAGTGGCAATATTGTTTTTGAAGTACCTGCTGTGATCTTTTGTCCTTTGAGACTTTCTCCCTCTTTGGAATATCTTGAAAATTAACTCTCTGGTAGCTTTAAAACTGTCACTTGCAGTAGACATTTTCTCCGCATTTTGTTTGGTCAGGCTTCCCTCCCTTCTTAAATACCATTCATTACCAGTTCCTCAAATACTATATCAGCTCCTGAGGTGATGGAATTAAAATGTGAAAGTGTCACTATTTAGGTCACTACAGAAATGTCAACAGATCTATTCCTTTTTTATCTATTTATTGCACTTCTTTATGGTTAGTGTGTGTGTGTGTGTGTGTGTGAAAGAAACAGAAACACACAGAGAGGCTGACATCATTAAATTAGCCACCATTTCAGTGTAAATGAGTATCCATATCCACTTCCTTGAATTTGGATTTATCTCTGTATTATCATTCTTTTCTTAAAACAAATAATTAATTAATTAATTTACTGATTTATTTTTAGTTTTTGACATTCATTTTTATAAGATTTTGGGTTCTAAATTTTCCGCCTCCCCAAGACAGCATGAAATCTGATATAGACTATACATGATCTGTACTAGTATTCTTAACAAAGATTTTCATAATATGAAAACAGTATCCTTATCACTGACAGTAAAAGTTATAAGATGTCATAGAATCTTATCTGAGAACTACATATTCTCTCTTTATTCCTTTTTGTATGGAACATTGGTGTACTTCGCACTTAGTAACAATTTGTAATAAAGCATAATTTCCCTTGATTTTCCTTCTTTTTTTATTCTATGTATAATGGTTAGAAGGGGCTTGGAATCAGACCCTCTTGACTTATAGAGGAAACTGTGTGGGTCAACTGGCCTCTCCCTCCCATCACTTATAACAAGAGAGCTTTTCATTGACTTGTACCCTAAACTTTGAGCTATGGAGGTTTTCCCCATGACAGCAAGATCTCATACCATGCTCTCTGTAGATTCATTTTCGCTCCTCTTCTTTAAGTTATTTTCTGAGATGAAACTGCTTGCAATCTTTCATCATCATCCTCTATAATGTTTTGCAAAATGAGATCATATTCTAAAACAGTTTTATCCTTGACCACGACATCTCTATGCCTGACAAAGAGGTGGAGGCTTTGCAAGTGTGGTAGTTTCCAAGCCCCACATCCTTCTTGTGACAACTGCACATCAGGTCAACTTTTCTAAGAAATTATGATAGAGTCAACATCTTGGCTTCATTCATTCCCTTCCCCTTTTTTGAGTTAGCAGCAGATTGAACAAGTTCAGTTGGTTCTGCTGTAATCACACATGTGTACGTCTTCTCAATTTTTTCTCCTTTCTTTTGTTATTGATTTCTATTATTGATTTTTGTTATTTTATTTTGTTTTGTTTCATTTGATTTGTTATTGATTTTTTACCTTTGCTCTAACCAGTCAATGATATGCCTGTTCAAAGCCAGTTGATTCTGAAACAATGCACAAAGAAATAAAAATTATTTTCCTTTCTGTTAAGATATGGTCAGTTTCACATTTGGTGATGCTCTTCCATGCTTGTCACATCCAGCATCATCTAGAACTCAAGATGTAGAGGCTTGAGGGCTCTGAGTATCTTATATACCCCTGGCTTTCTTCACTTCTTGTTCCCAGCTGTGTTTTCCAACATAGTTTTCTTCATTCTACCCACATTTGCTTTCATATGGACATTACTGAGTACCAGGGTATATTTTGCCCTAGTTTTGAGTGACTTTTGAAGTTTTTCATATGTAATGGGGCTTTGTTTTGTGCATGTCTAGATCACCAAACATGGAGGCACCTTGTAGCAGATGCCAAAGACCTGTTGCTGGAAAAAGACATTCTGTGTTCCCCTTCTACATAGGCGGGATGCCCTCTTTCCACGGTCTGCAGCTAGAACATGCTGCATTCTAAAAACTGTCAGACTCTCTCACTCTTTTTCTGGTGTCATGGCAGGTTGGGGATGGGGTGTAAGGTGAGGGGTTGGAGATCCTGTTCACCCAAAGCAGGGACATCATGACCTCAGCTAGCTGAGTATGCTAAGTTCCCCTCCTCTCCTTTAGATTCTTTGTCCTCAAGAAACAGACTTGGGGTTGTGTTTGGTTTTGTTTGTCCTTTTCATTTTTTGAGGCCAGACAATAGAGTCTCTGGCAGACTGAAGCCATGGCAACCGTGGATGCAGGAATCTAAGCAAACCAGCATGGAAACCCTGAAAAGCCAAAGTGCCTAGGACTCCTCTGCCTGTTCTTAATACTGAAAAAGGCAAACAAAACAGACCAAACTCCAAGCCCACTTCACGGAGCCTAAAAGGAGATTCCACCATCTACCCTACTTAATTAATGATGCCTGTGCCGTGGGTAAACTGGACCTTCAACCCCTTGCATGCCACCAGAAAGAGTGAGACTGTCCCAGTCTGGTAGCTTAAAGATCACCCTGTTCTGGTTGCTTTGCCAATGGAAAAAGGCAGTATCTTCTCCCAGAAGAAGGTCTCTGTCATATCCTACTATGGAGCCTCCATGTTAGCTGATTTGGGCATACACAAAGCAAGCCCTGTTGCATTTAGAATTCCAATATTTTATCTTCTGTGATAAATTTCACACGAACTTCAGTTATTTTTCTAGTGCTCTGTTTCATTATGCTCATTTTTAGAGCTATAAGGTGACTTTTTTTTTTAGCAACCTATACAAGGCTCTCAGAGCTAAAAAAAAAAAAAAAAAAGAGGCATTTTGTTTTCCCTGAGGGGAATATGAGAATAAAGCCTTTTTGCTGCCTAAGTCTCACTTATGACTTCTTGGTAAGAGAGGAGAACCATGGGATATGAAGCAGCCTGGACTGGAAATTGCAGGAAAATATCAAAATCAGAACAACAAGCTAAGAAGCCAAAGAATAGACTTCATTAGCAAATATTTAATTTGTAAATATCATTAAACATTCTGTCTACCTAAATCCCTCCATGCATTCCAATAGCTCACCTTCCTGGCTAATGTCCTTTCTGTTTATCTCAGAAAGGAAATGAAAGCTCTTAGGCTGAGTTTCTGAGGCACTGACCTGAAGTAGGTCAGTAACAATTCACTTTCTCAACCATAGTACTTAAAGCATATTTCCTATGATTCAGTATGAGCAGATGCCTTACATGGGACAAACTTCAGGCAGGTAGAATGAGCCCTAGGCTGATCTTAGCAGCTATGCAGTATACTCAGAGGTGGACCTAGCCAGAAGTCAGGGACTTAAGTGCTAATCCTCACTCTGGGTGGAAGCATAATACGTAAACCTCCTTTTTAGTTTCTCTAGAAATATTAATTTCCAATCCTAAATAAATATTTCTAAAAAACCATTCTAAGTTTGTTCCCTTTGGAAAATGGGATAGTAAGAGTAGACCTTTGTCTTATTTTTTGTTTTTTGAAGTAATCTGGATTAAGTGACTTGCCCATTGTCATGAGGCCAGACTTGAACTCAGGTCCTCTAGACCCCAGGGCCACCACATCCACTGCACTACCTAGCTACCCCTCTTCCTTGTCTTCTTAAGATCATTGTCTTACTCCCCCCTTGAAGTGACTAGGCTATTGACATATCTAAAAGCACCTTCCTCCTTCCCCATTTCCAGAAGCCATTTGGTGGAATTCATTCTTTTCCATTAAGAAAGGACTGAGAGATTGATAAGGAGACCCTAGTAATCTCTGAAGGGAGTAGTCAAGGAAGGAAATGAGTGATTTCTATTGTTCTAGAATATTAATACCAAACTGTATTTTAACATTTTCCTTGTTCGAGATTTCTAAAAAATGTTACCTCAAATTATCTTGAGATAGAGATATGTCTGAAGTATTGGAGAAAGATGGTATGGAGAACAGGGTTGCCACTATGGATCTCTCTCTCTCTCTGTCTGTCTGTCTGTCTGTCTCTCTCTCTGTCTCTCTCTCTCTCTCCCTCTCTCCCAGAAATGCATGAATATTAGAATTATAATAAGTAAAATTGTTTCTGGCAGATTTGTGCCTAAAATGCAGAGCATAAAATTAGTATTTTTTCCCCTTTGGCTTGCTCTGTGACTTTATACATTTCACTGTCCCTCTCTGAGTCACCTGTGCAATTCAATTAAACAAGAAGCAATAATATGAGGGTGAGGGGATTGAGCCAGTCTCTACAACATCTAATTCATATATTTTGCCATAGTCCCAAATTAGAAATAAATTTTTCCACAGAGTTAGGACTAGAGGCACAAGAAATTAGGGTTATTTAGGGGTAAGTGTTGACTCTTTAAAAGCTCTAATATGTTATGCTGTTGATTCTCCCCTCCCCCGCTCCCCATGTCCTAGAAATGGCTTTCTCATATCACAGAATATATTTGTCCTCGGTAGGTTTAGGTCAAGAAAATCCAGCTGCTCCCAGCCCTTGGCAGAATGTGCTACGGCAAGGGACCAACACCTAGAGGTTTGTTTGCAAAGAGACTTTCCCTAACCAGGTCATAATTTTGTTCTCTCTTGCTTTTCACTTAAGGCACAATTCAATCCGAAGGCAACTCAACCTCTCCAACCCAGACTTCAATGTCCAGCAGCTTCAGAAGCAGGAACAGTTGACAGGGATTGGACGCATTAAACCTGAATTATACAAGCAGAGGTCGGTGGACACTGATGACGGCAGAAAGAGCAACAGCAAGGCCTGTGGGAAACTGAACTTCATTGTGAAATACGACTGTGACTTAGAGCAGCTGATCGTGAAGATCCATAAAGCCGTCAACCTGCCAGCAAAAGACTTTTCTGGAACGTCAGACCCTTATGTTAAGATTTACTTGCTCCCGGATCGAAAAACTAAACACCAGACTAAAGTTCACAGAAAGACACTAAACCCAGTCTTTGATGAGGTTTTTTTATTCCCAGTTCCCTACAATGACCTTGCCATGAGGAAGCTTCACTTCTCTGTCTATGATTTCGACCGGTTCTCCCGCCATGATTTAATTGGCCAAGTGGTTGTGGATCATTTCTTAGATTTGGCAGACTTCCCTCGAGAGTGTATCCTTTGGAAGGATATCGAATATGTCACCAATGTGAGTTCAAAATTTCTTCACTTGGGGGTTGGGGAAGGACTTCTTGGTCATTGCAGAAGCTGGATGGCTGTTCATGCAAAAGCCATCGTTGCTCATATGCAACAGTCTCTTTCTCCCATGATGTGTCTCTTAGGTCAAGTGTTCTACAGTGCTCTGTAAAAGTTTAAGCTATCACTATCTACTACCTAGCAATTGTTTTTTTGTTGTGTTTTGTTTTGTGTCGACACAAAACAAGTATGTGTCAGAGGTGGGCCTTGAACCCAAGTGTTCCTTGCTCAGAGTCTAGTTCTTGGTTATTTCATCTTCCGCATAGAATTTGCTTAATAAATGTTTGTTGAATTATCAGGAGGAGGGGAGCGAGAAACTGGACTGGTGACAGAGCTCTAGACTCACCCATACGTGGTCACATTTGATTCAACAAGCATTTACTAAGTAACTATTATGTGTCAAGTATCTGTATTAGGGCATAAAGTTTTTACAACGGAAGTTCCTTAGACAGATGAAATCACAAGTACAAGCTCCTGTCCCAAAAAAAGGGGACAGGCTCTGTGGTACTTATTTGGGATAGAGAGACAAAAATGAAGTGGTTCCTCCTACCCTCAAGGATGTTGAGTTCTACATGGACATTATTTCTGAATCTTCCTTTGATTTTTCCTGAGGCGGAAACTTGAAATCTATTCAATAAATGAGTTATTAGCAGTTATTGGGGATATAGGGATAATATCTAAGATAACCTGTCCTCCCCTGTCTGATCCATACTCCCTACTACCACCTTTGCAGGTAGAGAGTTAGGCTTTTGCTTTCCTCCTCCCAGTGTTCTGTAGCTGTCATTTTTGCTAAATGGATCCTGGCACTCCATTAAACTATGGGAGACCCTCACATGGGCTGTCTGTTCCAGGAGCATGAAATCCCTGAGGCTGTTCTCATAGAGTCAGTCAGCAGCCACAGTCAGATTTACACCCTTAGGCACATGGGTGGGAGTAGTTAAACCCTTAGCTGGTAAAAATAATGAAGAGCTGGACCTTAAGAAACTAAAGCTACAAGAAAAGCAATCTTTATAAAGATATCATTGGTGCTAGGGGAATTTATTTACGAAAAGCAGCTTCAAGATGTGGCTAGGCAAACAGAGAAGAGGTTCTGTATAAATGGTTTTGTTTCCAAATACCAAAAGTTTAGAAAGGATTAACCTGGGGCATAGAAGAGGACTACTAGCAGACACTTAAGGCTAGCTAAGATTCAAGGACTGGTAAAGAGTAACCACAAGTGACCTCCTTCTTTCCTCTCCCCTCTTCTCAAGGGACACCAAGACCATTATGGAAACGGTGAACACATAATTGCAATTCATCACCAAAGAGCAGGGTCAAGTACCAGTTAACAGCTACAGAAAATAATAACAATGACTCACATATGTATGTGTATCTATATTTGTTTTATGTACATATGTGTGTATTTATGTATATGTGTGTGTTCTGGTGCTCCTATCTTTCTTACCACTCTTTCTCTGTCTCCTTGACTGAGGCTCTGTCCTGGGTACTTTTTTTTATCCACATTATCTCATTTGGTGATCTCATTAGTTCTTCTGGATTCAATCGCCATCTCTCTTCTAGTGATTTCTAGTTCTGTACATCCAACTCTAGTCTTTCTGCTGAGCTACTACCCTCCAGTTATCTCGATAATCCAGCTACTCAGCAGCCTCTTCATGTCCCAGGTTTGGCCAATCTGTCATTTCTCCCACTACAACATCTCTAATATATACTCCTTTCTCCCCTCTCACAAAGCCACCTAGTTTAGCCCTAGTTTAAATACTTATTACCTCTCACCTGGACTACTATCATAGCCTCCTAGTTGGTCTCCCTACCTCAAGTATTTCTCCACTTCAATCCCAATTCCACATAGCTACCAAAGTGTTTTTCCTAAAGCCCAAATTGAAGCATATCACACAACTAGTATACGAGGCAGATCTCGACACCCATATTAAATAAATTCCAGTGGCTCCCTCTTAAGGTTTGCAGAATGGTTTATATCCAGTATCTCATTTGTGCCCACAACAAATCCATGAGAGAGGCACCGTCGCTATAATTTACCCCTTTTTTACTTCAGAGAGGTTAAATGAGTTGCCCATGGTTATAAAACATGTAAATGTCTGAAGTTTAAACCTAAGTCTTCCTGACTTCATCTCAATGAAGTCACTCAACCCATTTTGCCATATTGATTCTCAAACCGATATTGGACAGAGGAGTTCTGAGATGGAGTTAAGGGGGACGCAGGGTGGGTTAGCCAGAAATTCAATTTAGTTTAAAGGAACATTTATTAAATAATCAAATAAAGTGTAAGTAAAACATGGTCATAATTACCCTCATGGAGTTCACAGTCTAAGAAGGAATATTACACATACACAGATAACTATAGTAGGTAGTGGCAGCAGTAGCCATGATGGTGGCAGTGGTGGTGGTGATGGTGGCAGCAACCATAGTGGTGGAAGCAGTGGTGGTGGTGGTGGCAACAGTCATGGTGGTGGCAATGGTGGTGATGGTGGTGGCAGCAATGGTGGTGGTGGTAGTGGCAACAGCCGTGGTGGTGGCAGTGGTGGTGGTGGTGGTAGCAGCAGCAGCAACAGGAGCAGTGACAGTGGAAGTATTAACACATTATGTATTAGAGAGATGCAAGAAAAGGACTGTTTAGAGCCCAAAGGGGAAAAAGAAGGAGGTAGCATTTAAGTTGGGCTTTAAGGGACACTTGGGAATCCAAGAACCAAAGATAGAGTTGGGGGAATGAGGAGGGAGGAGAAAAGTACAAGTACTCAAAATAGCATTGTTTCTGAACTTAATTAAATTAGTCCTCAGATGACTGACATACAGTTTTGTTTCCTGATCTATTCTTGAAACCTTTACACCTTGGTAAGACCAGTCAATCAATCAGTGAATAAAATGAATTTATTAAGGATGTGCTATGAGCCAGGTACTGTGCTATGTACTCGATAAAAAGTTTAAAATGAGGTAATCTCTTCCTTCAAAAAGCTTACAATCTAATATGAGGATACAACACATGTAGGAATGTCTTATCATCAGTAGGAAATACCTGAACTTTGATGATTAGGAGATGAGGTGGAGAGGAAGACCATGAACCAGGTGTTATAATTATGGAGAATGTTTGGGAGAGTGACCTGGAGATTAATAAATGATTCTAAAAAATATAAGGAGAAGAAGGTGGTATAATGTGGAGAAGAGACATTCACGTGATCTTCAAAGGAGTAAAAACTATTGAGGGATATAGATAAAAGAATGTTCATGAAGTAGCACTAGGGTAAAAAGAGGTATACAGACTCCTGGGACCTAAGAATTGGGGGAAATGGAAATCTCCAATGGAGATGATTACAAGAAATGTGGTGTCTTTGGTACAAAGCCAAACTTTAGTTAAAACAAAGAGGAGGAGGGAATAATGGATGAAAAATTGAGAGGCAGATATGTTTAAAGATGTGGCAGGATTTCCAAAAGACACATTAGAATGGGCTAGCAGATGGGAGCCCATCTGGCTATTTTAGGTGAGCCTACAAGAGCAGGGCTGATCAAAACAGGGTTGATTGATATGTAGCTTACATCTAACGTAGCAATAATACTGAAGATCAGTAATTCAGTATCATAGGAAGAGGACTGGAATTGCATGTTGAGACTATAGGAAGCAGATGGCTCAGTGGGCAGAATTTAAACCACAGCCTTGAGGCCACATGTAACCTTCTAGGTCTTTAGGCGCGGCCTTTTGACTGAGTCCAAGTTTTACAGAACAAATCCTTTTATTAAGGGAATTTTTTTCTCTGAAGTTTGATTTGAGTCAAAGGGCAGCACTTGAGGAACTAGAGGCCACATGTGGCCTTGAGGCCGCAGGTTCCCTACCCCTGAAAACAGTAGAAGAACTCAAAGATGGAGCCAACCTCCAGTTCAAAATGGAATAGGGAATGCCAGTGTTCTAAGCTTTCATGCCTGCCTGGGGCCTCACCTGTATTGTACGCTTTGCTGCTTTGATAATGGCTAAGGGGCTCCTGGTCCACAAGAGTATATGACACAAAGTTTGCATGATATCTGTGCTGTTTCTGACAGTGGTTGTGGGACTTCTTCCCCTAATCCCCCTAGAGAGCAGCTGCCTCATGTTTCTTATCCCTAGTGTTTTTCTGCTCCTATCGATGACTAGTATTCACAAATATAAAGGAGAAAGTCTAAGATAATTTAGGAATCAACAGTTAGCTTTCTTTGTTTTAGGGAGAAGGAAACAAAAGTGAGAATTGGGAATAGCCAGAAGTGCTCTCAGATACAAGTCAAGTCCTACATATAGGTATACTGGGGTTTAGGACAAAATAGGAAACGCCAGTCCACAACCTCATTTTAGCAAGAGTGAATCCAGATGCCCTCATTTTGAAGTCAGTAGTCAGTAGTCAATAAACAAACATTTATTAAGCACCAAAATGTGCAAAGCACTTAAACACTGATGATATAAATAAGAAAAAGAAAGTTCCTGGTCTCAAGGAGTTTACGATCTGATGGGGGACTACAATATACAAAAGGAATGGGGGGGAGGTGCTCCAGAGGGTATTCAGCACAGGGGCATGATGTTTTTGGAGCCAAAACCAAGCACAGCAACTGCTGAAAAATGAAGAGTTGGCTAGGCCGGTGATGGGTGAAAAAATGAAGGATTGGCTAAATGGCGCTTACCTATCAAGATTTAAAAGGCCCCATAACTATGTGAAGGCTGATGAAGAGTATAGCATGGCTATATTTTATAGGTGATCCTTTTTACCCTATTTTTTACTAGCTCTCACCACTCAAAGGCCCAATGGAATATAAAGGAGAAGTATCTTTTTTTAGCCAGATTCTTTCTAGTCTGAAAGCCTTGATGTTTAGCTGCTTATCTCTATTTAAAAGGACAAATTCAGAATCAGACTGACCAGATTTTAGCATTGGAAAGGAGCTAAGAAGTCATCTAGTTCACCTTCATGAAGAATCGCCTCT